ACAGAGACACGGTACATAAGTGAGTTGTATCCCAATTTTATATACTTAATAACGATCCGCCCCGGCTTCGTACGACTGTTTTCTAGATCTCGTCAACAGCGCTACGCGATGAACGATTATTTGCCTGTTTGTATTATGGCATAGTAAGTATAGTTTTATAGATGTAGGTATCCAGAAAAGGCGATAATACTAAAGGTGGCACATGGAAATATCATAAAGAATTAACTCATCAGAACATAAGAAATTAAACTAAAGATAAAACTAAAGCATAAACAGAATTTCATATGTTCATGTCATCACCTGTCACGCCTACAAAGGGAAATGTGGGATGACATGAAGGGTTGTTTACAAGTTTCATAGCCTGGCTAAGATCTATTTGCCCATCGTGGCAACTTTGGTATCCCGTGAGCGGTTATTCTTAGAAGCTGGAGCTACAATCACCCATGTTATTTTTAAATTCAATTCTAAAGAAATAAACATAATTAATTATATTAATAAAAATAAATTCTAAAAAAATTGATATTGGGTGACAAACGTCACAAATTTCCGCTCGAAAATTTGGAAAAATACTTAATTGTATATTGTCATAAAAACTATGCATAATTTTAAGAACATTTCGCTGTTTTTGTACCGTCTTTAATTAAAATATACAAAAATAAGTGTTTTTTTGAATTTTCATTGTGTGTTTTTTTTTATAGGAGAGGAGGCAAACGAGCATGCGGCTCACCTGATAGTAAGTGACTACCGCCGCCCATGAACAACCGCAACACCACGGGAATTGCAGATGCGTTGCCGGCTTTTTAAAAAGGAGTAGGCTCTTTTCTTGAAGGTCCCTAAGTCGTATCGGTCCGAAAAAATCGCTGATGGTAATCGATTCCACAAGGAAGTCGTGCGGGGAAGAAAACATCTTCTAAATCGCACAGTGGTGGACCGCCAATCATCCAGATGATGTGGATGGTATCGGGAGTTCTGCCGCGATCTACGTTCATGAAATTTGGCGGCTGGGATTAATCCGAACAATTCCTCAGAGCACTCCCCATGGTAGATGCGAAAGAAAATGCAAAGAGATGCAACATCTCTTCGCAGTACCATGAATCGAGCCGATTGGAAAGGGCTCGGTCGTCGACGATTCGAGCCGCTCTGCGCTGGATGCGGTCAAGTGGAAGGAGCTGGCACTGGGGAGCCCCTGCCCAGAGATGGGAACAGTATTCAATGTGAGGCCGAACCTGCGCCTTGTAAAGTTGCAGGCGGTGTGCCGGCATGAAATACTGTCCCGCTCTGCTGAGCACGCCAAGCTTTTTAGAGGCCAATTTGGCCTTCTCTTCCAAGTGACTACGAAACTGCACGTCACTCGATATGTCGACTCCGAGGATACCGATACTGGCTGAGGCAAGAAGGGGAGTGCCTTGAAACTGAGGAGATACGACAAAGGGGTTCTTTTTAGCGGTAAACGCGCAAATTTGTGTCTTCTGAGGATTAAACTGGACTAGATTTAGTCGCGCCCAATCCGAGACTTTGTCCAGCAAAGACTCGACTTCAGACACAAGTTTGTTTCGGTACTCGGCGACGTTTTCCCGAGAAATATTGGCCCGGCCGGTGTATAGAGCATCACCAGTGCTGTCATCCGCATAGCAATGAATGTTACCAGTTAGCAACATATCATTGATATGCAGAAGAAACAGCGTTGGTGATAGCACACAGCCTTGTGGAACATCAGCTTTAATAGGCTTGTAGTCAGAACATGCACCGTCTACAACGACCTTGATGCTCCGATCTGCAAGAAAGTGGTGATCCAATTGCACAATTTCTCGGGAAGCCCAGAGGAAGGGAGCTTCGAAAGAAGCGCTTTGTGCCAAACCCGATCGAAGGCCTTCGCAATGTCCAGACTAACGGCCAACGCCTCCCCCTTGGACTCTACTGCCTCCGCCCATCTATGAGTTAAGTAGACCAGAAGATCACCAGCTGATCGACCCCGACGAAAACCGTATTGGCGGTCACTAATCAGCTGGTGATCCTCAAGGTACCGGATGAGCTGGCAGTTAATAATGGATTCCATTATTTTGGAGAACAAGGAGGTGATCGCGATAGGCCTATAGTTGGACGGGTCTGAGCGGTCGCCTTTTTTAGGGATCGGGTGGACAAAAGCTGTCTTCCATGAATTCGGGACTACGCCTTGGGAGTAGGAGTACCGGAAAAGACGCGTTAGGACCGGTGCCAACTCCGGAGCACACGTCCTCAGCACAATTGGGGGGATTCCGTCAGGCCCACTCGACTTCTGGATGTCCAGGGAGAGAAGTGCTTTGCGAACTGAGCGCTGTGAGAATAGCACATCCGGCATGGAGCACTCACACCGCGCGATGGTCGGCGGTATTTTCCCCCCGTCATCAAGAGTCGAGTTGGACGCAAAAAGGGAGGCTAAAAGGTCGGCTTTGTCTTTTGCGTCTTGGGCCAGCGAGTCGTCCTCCCTGTGCAGAGATGGTAGTGATGGCTTACAGAAATTCCCTTGGACAGCCTTGGCGAGAGACCAGAATGCACGGGTTCCCGAAGGAAGGCGAACTAGTTTCTCGCCAATTCTGCCTATGTGCTCTGACTTTGCCTTGGCAATAACTCTTTTGAAGGACCTGGAGGCGAAGTTATACTTCTTTTTAAGTGTTTTGGTGTTTACACCCCGAGTCACCGAAGCCGCAGCCCAGGCTTGATAAGACTCCTGTTTACTGCGCAATGCAGTCTTACAGGAGCGACCAAACCAAGGCTGAGATCTGCCTCCGATGGGTACCACAGATGATGGAATAAATAGTTCCATTCCATGTAGCACCACATCAGTGACAGAGTCAGAAACAGCGCTGGGATCATCCGGCGAGAAGCAAACCCGCCCCCATGGGTAGGATGCAAAGAAAGACCGCACTCCGTCCCAATCCGCCGACCTGTAATGCCAAACACGGCGGCAATCTGCAGAACGCAACCGCGAAGGGAGCGTGAGTGGCACCATACTCCGGATCAGACAATGGTCCGAAGAGCCGAGAGGGGCATCGACGCAAACCTGATATCCGTCCGGATGAGAGGTCAGCAGAAGGTCCAACAGGGAAGGTGTGTGATCCTCCACATCTGGAATCCGCGTAGGCGAAGTAACCAGTTGTGTCAGACCATATGCCAAGGCAAAGTCATAAACAGATCTCCCCGCATGATCGGTTAAACGTGAACCGAGCCATTCGGCATGGTGGGCGTTAAAATCGCCAAGGATCACGATCTCTGCGGATGGGACCTGTTGTAGCAAGGAATCTGTAGCCATTCGGACGTGGTCAATGAGTCGGTCTGTTTCGGCATTACCGCTATGGGACTTATAGAGGCACCCGTAGACGTACGGATGGTCGTCGCTGTCTACGCGTAGCCAAAGGATGGACAGGTCCGAACCTTCAATACTGCCGAGGCGTCGAGAACAGATGTCCTCTCTGATATACACGCAAACTCCAGCCCAAGGCACAAAGGAGTGCTCCAATTTGTACCCCGGGTAGGAGAGATACGAAATATCAGCCGGAGAGGAAACCTGCGTCTCGGTCAGAAAGAGCAAGGCCGGCTTCACCGTCTCGAGATGGTAGTGGACGGCGTTTAGGTTAGAGTGAAGTCCCCTGATGTTGCAGAAATTCACGGATAGCGTGGCAGTGGTCGCCTTGATATTGTTGCTCAGTTTGCCCCGAGCAGTTTTGTTTTTGAGCGGAATTTTGCCCCCCCCCCCCCCCAGAATACGCGGGGCAGCCTGAGCACCCACGCTCAGGATTGGAATAACATGGTCGTGGATGCTCAGCGAGGGATTCTCCAGGGGTACTGGTACCCTCCTGGGGTAGTCTATTGTCTAATTCCGCTACCATGTTGATGGGGGGGGGGGGGGGGGGGGGGAATTGGGCCTCCGGCCACCTACACTCACCAGACGAAACGCAGAAGCAGAGCCTCTACTTCACGCCGGTATTCTGTGAAGCCGTGGTACCAACCCGGCTCGAGCCGGCCCATATATGCAACAGCAAAAACTGCTGCGGGGCTCTACCACCGTTAAATATTTTGGGCATATCAACAGTTTTGTGCATATTTCGGACTTTTTTTAGTGCATATTTGTACGCATATTTTGGCACTTTGTTAGTGCATAAAATCCGATGTCTACTGATTATATTATTATTTCGAAATAAATCATGTTACGGAACAACATGGCACGTATAAACATGGACATTTTGTCTCTCTCACTCTTTTTTGTTTTGTACACATATATGTTTTATAAGGCGTTTATTACCCCCTATCACATTTTGAAATTGTTGGGATTGGTTGTTTAGCTTCCACGTACCGATGGTATCAATAGCAAATGGCACTAATACATAGTTATCTCTCAGAGACTTATACTTATGCCACTTACTCAGTTTGGCCGTTTGTTATGTCGCCCCGGTTCTAATCGAGGTTTCGCTGAGATGAGAGGTAGTCAAAGTGTCTGCGCTCATAGCATTTTATAATAATAATAATAATAATAACAATAATAGTTTATTTTCACCACTTAGATAGGACAACTTGCTAGCACTTTTCACTCATGAAAGTCCGTGGAACTCAAACTGGCGCTGATGAGATTTACAAATCGCGACTCCTGGTTGAATTCCTACGGCTATGTATAAGCTTTTACTCGTCAATTAATGCTTAAATATTTATTAATAAAGCATGTAACTAGTCACTAGATTTATTATTTGAAACAGCTAAAAGGCTGGTCTGATCTTGGTTACTATAGAAATTATGAAATAATATTTAAAGAATATTAAAAGTATAAAATACCTTATATTAAATATCATCACATTAAACCTAATTTATTGGTTATTATAGTCTATCTACGTTAATACATATTCTACAAGAGCCTTATTACCCCTATTTATGGATAGTGTTCTTTTTTAGTGAATATGCGTTTTTGTGCGTGTATCCGAATCAACAAAACACCAGAAAAAAAATTAAGTGACACGTCCACCCACCCTGTCAAACTTCCACGGTTACATTGGTTCTGCATGACAATTTTTCATGTTTTAACTTATAAGAATGGTAAGAATTATTCTTATAACATAATAATACTCAATATAAAGTGCTCATTCATACTGCAATCCGCAACTGATGCCACTACGGCCATATAGTTCAATATGTCGGTGGTGTCATCATTCATGATATGTCGGCATCCCGTCTTCGTGACGACTATGTATTTTGTTTTTTAATATCAGTGTATTGTAGTGTAGTTCTAATGTGTTTTGTTATATTCACTAAGCCGTTGCGCCTGGATATCAAGAGAAAGCTGACTGCGAGGAGTGACCGAGTAAAATGTGTAGATCAACATCCTACAGAACCATGGCTTCTCTGCTCACTGTACAGCGGGGATGTCAACATATGGAACTACGAGACGCATATACAAGTCAAGAGATTTGAGGTGATACAATGGTTACAGTTTATTTAAAAAAAAACCATAGGGGTACTTACTTTAGTATATCATTGTATCTGCACTGTTGCAACTGACTACATAAAGTAATTCCTCGAGTATTTCCTACTTTTTAACAGCAAGAGATTCAATTTTACCCTTATTTGACACACTTGTTTCATTGATTTCATCAAGTACAAAGAAGTGCACAATGTAGAAGTACATGTTATCTGCACATTGCACTAGAACCTAGAATGTTATTCTCATTAGGCTTTTTATATCATTTTATTTTTCTATCATGCATTGTACTCTTTTGCAGGTGTGTGACTTACCAGTAAGAGCTGCCAAGTTTGTCTCCAGGAAGAACTGGGTGATCACAGGTTCAGATGATATGCAAATTAGAGTGTTCAATTATAATACTTTAGAAAGAGTCCATTCCTTCGAAGCTCACTCGGATTATGTCAGATGTATTGCGATCCACCCCACACAACCTTACATTCTGACTAGTAGTGGTATGTGCTATATGATTTTGGATTAATCTAACTTATCAGTATTTTTGTGACTTTCTTATTTTAACATTACTGCTTTAATAAATGTTGTTTCTTAACTCTTATTATATTATGTTTGTTATTTCAAGTGGTTTTAGGTATTAAGAATAGTAAAAAAAAGGAATATTAATCATCTATATTATCTGAAACACCATTACATAAAGCAATAAGTATGTGTAATAATGTTTATATTGGAAAATGTTTAATATGATTTGAGATTAAACAAGTGTTAATTTAATTTATAGATGATCTGCTAATAAAACTGTGGAACTGGGATCGCAGTTGGGCATGTCAACAAGTGTTTGAAGGCCACACTCATTATGTGATGCAAATAGTAATCAACCCAAAGGACAATAACACATTTGCTAGTGCAAGTCTTGACACTACTGTTAAGGTTAATTATTCTTTAGTATATTTGTTGTAATGTAATTTTCTTTTTATTTCTACCTCTTCGTCATTCTGATTCATTCTTCTTTTATTTTGAAATCACTGGTTTGAAAACAGTTTATTAGTCACTCAAATTATTTATCATACCAATGAAAGCAATGAGCCCATAGACTTTAACTCCCTTTTAATCTTCACAAATACCTCTTTTGTATATATTTTATGTGCTTTTATTAATTCTAACAATATTAAACTGTAATTTGTTTGTCATATAATAACACATTAGTATTGTTTTAACAACATTGTCTGTCTTTTGTTTTAGGTAATTTAACAGATAAGTTGACCAAAATCATTCACATAATATTCGTTGTTACCATCTCTTGTATTATCAATTTCCCCTTTTAAGCAGAGTTTGTGTCCCCATTAAACCTTTTCACATATAACATGTCATTGGCGAATTCATCGTAACCGCCATAAAGGAAGAAGAAGAAGAAAGCAATGAGAACAGATTAATATTTGTTTTTCTTTGTACAGGTATGGCAGCTAGGTTCCTCCATTTCAAACTTCACACTAGAAGGGCATGACAAGGGAGTCAACTGTGTAGACTATTACCATGGTGGTGATAAGCCATACTTAATCAGTGGTGCCGATGACCGTCTTGTAAAGATATGGGACTATCAAAATAAAACTTGTGTTCAGACTTTGGAAGGTAAGTTAAAACTTGTTGAATATGTAGTAAGTATAACACTTTCATTATTAAAGATAATGTAGAAACAAATAAATATTGCTTATGTTGTTTCAACTAGTAAAAACTAGTTTTAAAATTTTTATAGTTCATTTAAATATCTCTTATAAACTTTATTATGGTGGTAGTAACCTTTATTTTGTTGATGTATAACCACAAATCTATCATCATCTTTCTAAATTTTCACTAAGAATTTGGTTTTAATGAATAACAATGTTCAAAGGTCATGCCCAAAATGTAACTGCGGTATCATTCCATCCCGAGCTGCCGGTCCTCCTTACTGGCTCTGAAGATGGCACCGTGCGAATTTGGCATGCTGGAACCTACAGGCTTGAGTCATCATTGAACTATGGTTTTGAAAGGGTCTGGACTATTTCGTCTATGCATGGATCTAACAATGTGGCTCTTGGGTAAGATTGATTTTGTTTTATTCTTAATATAATTGTAATTTGATTCATTATGCACATTATGAAATGAAGCTTTTTTTAAGTGATAATATGTTTTCTAGGTGTTTTTAATGTGTAACTGATATGTATTTGTAACAGGTATGATGAGGGTACGATTATGATAAAAATAGGCAGGGAAGAACCTGCCATTTCTATGGATGTAAATGGAGGCAAAATTATTTGGGCCAAGCATTCAGAGATGCAGCAGGTCAATTTAAAAGCCTTACCAGAAGGTTTGTGTTCATGTTTATGACTACAAAATTAATTAAATTGTTTTAATTTATAATTAATGTTGTACACAAATTTTTACTAAGGAGGTTTGTTTTGCAGGTACGGAAATAAAAGATGGTGAACGCGTGCCAGTTGTAGCGAAAGACATGGGCTCCTGTGAGATCTATCCTCAAACAATTGCCCATAATCCTAATGGGCGCTTTGTAGTAGTTTGCGGTGATGGTGAATACATCATTTACACTGCAATGGCGTTAAGAAATAAGGCTTTTGGCACCGCCCAAGAATTTGTATGGGCTTTTGATAGTTCGGAATATGCAACATTAGAAAACTCCAGTACAGTGAAGGTCTTTAAGAATTTCAAAGAGAGAAAAAGTTTTAAACCAGAATATGGCGCTGAAGGTAAAAATATTTACTGTAGTGTTTGATGTAATCAAAACTGTCATATTTTTTTTTTATAGGATAAGGGTGACAAACGAGCACACAGTCCACCTGATGGTAAGTGGTTGCTGCGGCCCATAGACATCTACATCTATCCTCTATTACAAATCAAAATGTAGATGCGTTGTCACCCGTGAGGACTAAGATGGAATGCCTAATTTCCAGTAAAAAGGGCCTCCGGCCAGCTGCACTCACCAAGCGAAACGCAGAGGTAAACCTCTACTTCACGCTGGTTTTCTGTGAGGTCGTGGTACCACCCCAGTTCGAGCCGGCCCATCCGTGTGACAGCAAAAGCTGCCACGTGGCTCTACCACTGTTATATAAACAAAAACAAATGAACTTACAGTTCACCTGATGGTAAGTGGCTGCTGTAGCCCATGAACACTTGCAGCTAACTTCAAACAAAGAAGGCTAAAGTTGCATTATTTTTGGAGAATTAAATGGAAAGTCTCAAAGCTTGTAATTGTACTGGCTCTCTATATCCTCTAGACGGCAGACAGCGGTAGTAGGGTGGTACCTACCTAGATAAACTCCAAGGCAGAAGAGAAATCCTACCACCTTGTATAGATAGAAGAATATAAAATTTATTTGTTTTATATTTGCAGGCATTTTCGGTGGTTATATGCTGGGTGTGAAATCAATAAGTGGTGTAGCATTCTCCTTCTATGACTGGGAGCACTTGGAATTGATTAGAAGGTTTGTATCTTTTGCTTTTGTTTGAGCAGTTGGAAGTCTAAACTTGTACTGCTACATAATAAATATGTCTTATTTTCTTTGTCTTGTGTTTTTTTTTGTGACCAATTTGTTATTTCATTAGAAAATTCTATGATATGATACGTTTTTATTATGTGATCTATATTTATTTTATTAATTTTGCTAAAGCGTTTATGCATATTAATAACAAATATGTGGTGGAAGTTAAAGAAATGATGGATAGATAGATAGATAACTCTTTATTGCATTTAAATAAAAAAATTATGGATATAAGTTGTTGAATGTGATATGCAGTGAGAATATTTTTCTGTGTATATTTCTGTGTCATTATTAAATTATATTTCTTAATTATTGTATTATTATGTTATATTTCCAATGAACTCTTAATTGATATGGTGATGTAATTGCCCATAATGTTTGGCGTGTTGGTGATTATGCGGTGCTAATAATGTGATATTTATTATTTAATGTAGGAAATATAAGCTCAAATGATACTTATATATATATATATATATATATATATATATATATGTTGCTTGCGCTTTTAAGTCTAAGCACACATTACAGTTTAGCGGTTGCATTGCAAATATTAATTATTTAAATTGTCATTAGTCTATAAGTCTATATACCAATAGGTAGGGGCCTCTTTCTAGTTGGGATTTTATTAGGTCAACAGTCGCCACCCATTGGATGTGCTCCTTGTAGTGTATCCTTTATCATATTTTAACTGTATCCATAGAAAGAAAAAGAAATGTGTTGTTGGGTTTTTGTTCAGCAGCAAATTTTTTAAATTTTGATAACAGTAAAGGAGCAAATGTGATTACTTTAATAATTCCCGACCAACATATTGAAATCTTTGCTTTGAAAATACTTTCATAGTTTTACCTCCATGGGGTATATCATATATCCCTCATTGAATATCAAGCGCAAACTTTCACATAAATCAATCTTGTCATCAAGAATAAGTTTGTTTGTATAAAATATTATATTCTGTATATTGATAGCATTGAGCGCTAGCGAATTTGTGACTAAACAGTTTTATATTTTAATTGTTTGGGAATGTCAATCTTGAAATTTTGGCAAAAGGAATATGCAAGAAAATGTTGAAACCTAAGAAAATTTAATTTATTAATTTCCTATTTAAAAATTGTTGTTACGGGTCTGATTTTCAAAGATTTCTAAAAGTCCAAATTTCTAAAGTCAGTTTTCAGTTCCCTAGAATCTTGTGAAGAAGCTCGGCATCGGCTCAAAGAGAGGCATTTCATCCCATTCCTCAGAGGTGACAACGCATCTGCATTTTTATTCATAATCGGAGATAGATGTAAATGTCTATGGGCCACAGGAATCATTTGCCATCACTTGGACTGTGCTCATTTGTCACCATTAACCTATAAAAAAAATTATTAAAAATTTAAGTTCCAACCTAAATACATCCCACTGCTAGGTACAGGCTTCCTCTCATTATTGAGACAGTTATGGTGTCATTAGCCATCTGCATTGCTCCAGTGCATGTTGGAAGATTCAGCCTGTTCACAAAGTGTTTTATTTCTTATACATGCGGGCTTCCCCACAATGTTTTCCTTAAGTACCGAGCACGGGCAAGTGCTTACCTGATTCTGCCGCAAACAGCAGTGCTTGCTAAGCTGTGTTCAGGTCTGAAGTAATATTACAGAAAAAAAGTGTGATTACAGGCTGTGAGGTATTCCATCTTAGTCCTCAGGGGTGACAACTCAACTGGGTGCCTTCTTTGTTTGAATTTGGTTGCAGTCCATGGAGACTGCAGTAACCACTTACCAGTAGATGGACTCAAAGGTTATTTGTCATTTTAATTAAAAAAAAACCTCAACAGCTTTGGTGCTTCCAGTAGGAATTGAATTAGGGTTATTAGTGTACTATAAAACACACTGCGATCGTTTCTCTCCTGATATATCGCTGCTATTTTTAAATAATATGAACGTTTAATTGCGAAGGTTATACTATTGCTATACTATACTATAGAATATACGAACCTTAACTCTAAAAAATATGACCGAAAAAAAGGGATCAAGTGGTATAGGAAAATATTTAATTTACAAAGTAAGGGTAACAAATGAGCTATTACATCTGATGATAAAGGGATGTTGTGGCTCATAGATACCTTCATTTATCTTAGATTAAGAATGAAAATACAGATGCGATGCCCCAGATGATTAAATAATTACATAAAGATGGAATGAAATGCTCTGTTACCAGTAAAATTAGTTCACGCTGTCAAAATGATGCTGTAGCGATAAAACGCTGTATAGTTGATAAAATTGCGGAGATTGCATTAACGATGACGATGATGATGATGATGATTTAAGCGTTCATCTGTTTGTTGATTGTTACTCGTTAAGTGCTGCGTACGGCGCCTTTCTAAATAACCGGAAGCAGTCTAGGAAAGAGATATAATCCTAAGTCCTAATTTACCCACGTCTGATGGAACACTTGCGATAAGATTGGACGTATTCTTAGCATTACGGTTGCCAACCCTTCTAAAATGTAATATTCTGCTGTCCACATACTATAGTTTTATGACTAGGCGAAACTACTATATTTTGATAAAGATTTACTATTGCGTAAGGCCATTAATAAATGCTTATAGCAGCAAAATTACCCCGAAAAAATTGAAATAACAAGTTGACTTCTATTTTCTACCGACTTCAAAAAGGAAACGGTACTCAATTCGTATGTTTCTTTTTTATGTGTGTTTCCATAAAAAAAAACATACGAAAGTTTTTTTTATGTGTGTTACCTTATAACTTTTTACTGTGTGAACCGATTTCACTGATTCTTTTTTATTTGAAAGCTGGTGCTTCACATGTGGTCCTACATAAATTTGATCAATGTTTTTAAGTTATTCTTAATAATTTATATTGAAGTTGGTTGTACAACATTTTTAATTTTAAATTATCTTCCACCTTGTACTATATTAAAAAATGATTAAGGTGTCAATGTAATTAAAAGGGCTTTAATTCTTTTAGACTTGGAAAGTTATTGTGGAAATTATTTAATTTTTTTCATTCTGCTTGAAGTCGGCTTTCACTATTTATTAAACATTTCATTAACAATTCTTACATAGAATCTTTCAGAATCCTTGTGATTAGGATTTCTTTAAAATTGATAATAAGTTGTGTATATTGTGTCCTTCTAAGACATTGGATATTAAAGTATGTTTATTAGTACGATCTGATGAAACTTATTACATTTCCGTTCCTTCCTCTTGAGCCCGTGAAACTGCTGTCCATTACTGACCACGAGCTTCTTCTTGCTGCTGGCTTCTGCTTGCTGGTCATGTTTGGCGGGTGATTAACAATCACAACACTCTTGAAGATACTGCCCAGTCTGTTAGGCTGCCTTTCCACCAGAGATGTGCGAGGTAACATGGCGGTGCGAGGATGCGTAGCGAGGCTTGTGGAACGGTGAGAGCGTTTCCACCAGAGATGTGTTAGGCCACTGAGCGGTGTGAGGATGCGTAGTGACGCTGTGAAATGGTGCGCAGATTAGCGGTGCGAGGATGTGCAGCGGGCTCGTTTCAGATGCGAGCGGGGTGAGGTGTGGTGGAAGCGGAGCCCTCGCACACATCGTTACCTTGTTTTGTACGTACAAAAACCTCGCTCCGCTGAGCCGTTTCCACTAGAGTTGTGCTGAGCGAGTCTAGGAAAATGAAGTGATTCTATTGGTTCTTAACAAACACTGGTCGAAACGCAGCCTTATTCTGGTTATTTTACGTCTACGAAATGAGATGCAAATCGCTATCTACCTGAAGCCATAAAATGAAGAAGCCTGTCATAACTCATAGTTGCCTCTTACGTCACACGGTACAGAATGGCAATTTAGACAGTACATAAAAATAAGTTGTAAAATAATTTAGAAATTAAAAATTTTCACAATCTTGTGTTCCAGAATCGAGATACAACCAAGGCACGTGTACTGGTCGGAAAGCGGAAACTTGGTGTGCCTTGCAACCGACGAGGCCTATTTTGTGCTGAGGTACAACGCGGCAGTGGTGACCCGCGCGCGGGAAACTAATTCCAACATCACGGAGGATGGCGTAGAGGACGCTTTCGAGGTGGGCTGGTTCAACTTTTTGTTTTACCCAACCGCTTTAGAATGAGGGTATCTTTGTATTTGCTTGTCTATTGTTTTGCGACATGCTGTAGCCTAAATTAACCAATTTTGTATTGCGAGGCGTCGTTCAAGTCGTCTAAGCGCTCAGCAGTAAATTTCACAGTACGCATGCTACCTGGTTCGTTTTCAGCTGGTATCATTATTGTAATTTTAAATGATTCCTTGCCATGTGAAGTATAATATCATGGGGAAATCTGCATGTTTGTGGTATAAAATATTTCAGTCCGCCATCACGCATCGAAGTAGCATAGTTGACTAAAAGCTCGTAACAGCCACTCAAAAATGATAAGAGGCCAGTGGCCACTATTGGAACATGTATAGGCGATCACTTAACTTTTTTTGGAGGTCATAGGAATTGAAGTAATGTGTTTCACGACATACGTTACATTTAGTGATAATAATACCGATATGACGTAAAACAATATACTGATTGCACTTTGTGTTGTGCAAACTGAAACTACGTCTGATGAACTCAAGCTGACTGGATGTATGCACATCAAGCCCATAGACATCTAAATCTATCCTCAATTAGGAATCAAAATGCAAATGCGTCTTCACCCCTGAGGACTAAGATGGAATGCCACGTTTCCAGCAAAAAATATTAGTGTCAAACAGTAGCAATAAGTGCTAATATTTTATGAGAGTGTTTAATTTTTTTTTGTTGCAACTATAATATGTTATAAAATCTTGCCTGATTTCTTTATTTTATCCCAAAGACATAATATTTTTGGCAAACAAAAGAATTTAATTTATGTGGTGATATATAATTATATTATTGTTATATATATATTGAAATTTCAATGCTTTTAATTATTATCGTATTGTAGTCCTTGTTGCCATAATGTATATAATGAAGTGTGTCTGATAAGAACCTTGCTTATCAACATTTTAATTCAAGCTTACGTTATTAGTCACAATTTTACTAATAATCTTTCAAATACTTCTATTTTTATTTCAATAGTGTTGATAAAATTGTTTTCATGTTTTCTTTTTTCATTATTAATACTTATTTAATTGAAGCTTGTGGTGGCGGCGTGAGATAATCTACTACCCCATATCATCGTATAATCGTATGTCGTAAGATGCGAAAGGAGGAGATGAAAGGGGAGATGAGCAGCAGATGATAAGAACTCAAAATTCCTGATGAAAACAATTCAAAATAATGAAAAACTTGCGGTCGCCAATCTTCCTGCCAAGCGTAGCAACTATGGCAAATATCCTTCTTGTGAGGAAATCTACTGAAAGTTAAGATTATTTAAAACAAATGTGGAATGTTATAGTTTAAATATAAAAAGTAATAGGAGACAAAGTACTCAAAACATTTTTTTATAGGATAAGGGTAACAAACAAGCACACAGTCACCTGATGGTAAGTGGTTGCTGTGGCCCATAGACATCTACATCTATCCTCAACTACAAATCAAAATGCAGATGCGTTGTCACCCGTAAGGACTAAGATGGAATGCCTCGTTTCCAGTAAATAGGGTGGGTCTCCAGTTTTCTTCACTTATCATACAAAACACAGCACCATTGAGATGTTATTTTACGCTGGTATTCTGTGCAAGCGTGGTCTTTCCTTGGTCGAGTCGACCCATTCGTGCTACAACCCCACTAATAGTATAGCTACAGCATGACTCTACCACCAAAAAATCAACAGCTTTAGTTAGCATTGAAAAAATATTGCATTTTAAAATTCTTTTTAAAAATGCTATTAGACTTTCCTGTCCTAATTAGGATATTATCATTTAAATTCAAAATTTCATATACATGTTTAATATCCGATGGTCCAAAAACTAAATAAAACTCAACATTTTAGGTTGTTGGTGAAGTAAACGAGACAGTGAAGACTGGATTATGGATCGGGGATTGCTTCATATACACAAACTCCGTCAACCGTATCAACTACTATGTCGGTGGCGAGATTGTCACTATCTCGCATTTGGACCACACCATGTACATTCTCGGATATGTTGCAAAGGAAAACAGGTAAAAGAGAAACCATAACAATATAATTTATTTTTTATTAGTTTTGATTAAAGTTGCCATAGTAAAATAAATGGTAAATAATGAAAGTGTTGAATAACATCATCTAGCAAGTTGATTTCTTTATCCGTTTTTTTATCTTCATAGGGTAGTTGACACAGTCAATTGAAACACTTTTCATTAGATGTCAAAACATAATTTTACAGAGATTGTATGCCAATATCAGTACTTGAGGTGTTAGTTTTTTGATGTGCATGTGGCATACATACTATGTACAATTGTACATAGTTACACAAAAAGAATCCAACTCACAGTCGAGTCAAAAATGAGTTATTATTAAAAAATAAGAGTTTGGGATCTATTCTTCCATAGAACAAAAGAAATTCAAATCAAATCTCAGTTAATAGAGAGAAAGACAGTTTATAACTAAAAGCTGATACATGACATATTTATTAAGAAACTTCTTTTAATAGACTTCAAACGTCAATATTTCAAAAGTAGTCTTTTGTTGGTTAAATCCTTTTTGCGTAACACCGTCCAATTTATTTAAAGTACAAAATAAAATTTTTAATGACTATAATGTTACATCAATCAAGATCTGAGAAACTAGTAATCCTTTAATAGTAATTCATTAGTGTTCATATACATTACACAATTTTATAAAATAAACATTGGTGAAACTTGTTGAATTAAGCTTATTATTTCAGATTGTACCTAAACGACAAAGAGCTAAACATAGTGTCATATTCATTGCTGCTGCCGGTACTGGAGTACCAGACAGCAGTGATGCGCGGTGACTTCGAAACAGCCGACAGAGTACTTCCCACAATTCCGTACGACCATCGCACCAGAGTGGCCCATTTCCTTGAAAAACAGGTAATGTGTCTTGTTTTAATAATTTTTTTTATAAGTAAGAGTGAGAATATGGCTTACTTACTACATTTATTGGCTTATAATAGATGATGGTATAATCGTCTTGTTCACATTACTTACAATACAAAGACCAGTGACGGCAGTGATGTCAAAAGCAAAGCCAAGCGTCATCATACTCTAGGCAAATATTTCCTACAACGAGAAAGGCTCGTGCCCAACAGTTGACTCTTACAGAGCGACAAAGAAGAAAGAAAAAAAGAACATGTAGGGTGTTTAACCCTACGACACCATATGATAAGTGGATATGTGAGATCGATTTGTCTTCAGGTACACCAGTGTTTCTAGGTTAAGCATTTACAGCCTACATGCGTCCCACTGCTGGGTACAGGCCTCCCCTCATTTCTGAGAGGGTTTTAGACCAAGAAAATGTCAGCCGCTGTTCCCCAATGCATGTTGTGAATGCATGTGCAACTTCAAAATATGTTTTCGAATTTTTTTTTCTTATTTCTCAATCATGCCGATGTCCTCAAGCTGATTCCCTTCACCGCCGAGCACGTGGTAAATCAGCACTTAAAATTTCAGTTAACAATTTCATTGGTGTCGGCGGGGATCAAACCCGGGTTGCTCGCGTACTGTAAAATTTACAGCAAGTGCTAACCATCTGAGCTACCAGGGCTCTGTATATGTTTCTAGGTGTTTGATTATAATTGAGATTGGATTGATATGGTAGATTTTTTTTCCCATCATAATATGAGGATAACAGTACACTCAGGTCAATACTTCTATAAGTTGTGAAAATAGTATGTTTTTATATTATGAATTGTATTTAAATATTGGCTGAAGAAGTCATCGTTTTTCTTAGAGCTAACACAGCTGGTTGGCCACCATATTTTTTTATCTAGAAGATGCGGCAGCTGCTTACAATATAACATCGTAGTGGATTATCTTAAGAAACCGCTACACGATGAATAATTTAAATAAAATCAGTAAGTTGATGATGGATAATTTTAACAATATTTCCAAACATCTTTTCTCCCAGGGCTTCAAGCAACAAGCCCTCGCTGTGTCAACGGAACCGGAACATCAATTCGAATTGGCGCTGTCCCTTGGCGAGCTGAGACGCGCGAAGCAGTTGGCTGAAGAGGCGACTGCTGCTGAAGGCGAACCTTCGCGTTCCTCAGCGGCACGCTGGTCAAGGCTGGGGTCTGCGGCAGCCGCTGCAGCTGACACGGAACTTACCAAGATCTGCTACCAAAATGCCCATGACTACAGTTCATTATTACTGTTTGCAGCTAGTACTGGTGAGTAAACTACTCTTATTGAGTTACTTTTGACAATTGGCTGAATAAGTTACTAAAGTGTGAATAAGTTTTAACAAGTCATGTTTAATAAATGACAATCTGCACTTGTTAATTACATATATTATTTCAAATAACGTTCCTAACGAATAACTGTATATTTAACCCCATAATTGCAGTTATTATAATGATCTACATATTTTATATAAATATTATTGAATATAAATTAAAAAATATTAACTCGACCTATTGCGACATTGTGTGCAAGGTGAAACTGGTGAAACAAGGTGGAAAAAAAAAAACTGTTGCAATAACAAATTGTGAGAAAGCTCAATGCTGAACATTTTAAAGCACAATATTTATTTTATACTCTGTTTTTTATGCATATTATATATATATATATATATATTTAATATGGCATTTTGCAAAAACCATAAGCAAGATCGATATAAAACATTATATCGAAATTAAAATATATAAATATGTATGATTGTGATAAATTAAAAAAAATTATAGAAGTATGAATTGGCATTGATTTGTAATGTTAATATAAATTGATAGGCAGTTAGTTTATCGACTTTAAAGAAGAGGGAAGGGTTAAGATGTAGAAAAAGGGAGATTATGAACATCAATAGGTTATTGTAGGAATGGGCCAAGGAAGTTTATATTTACACATACTTATATTATATCTTACATCTATTCACAAGTTTTGCTATGAGAAAGAAAAATATTTTTGATATGCTGGCAGTGAAACAGGACATTGTTTCATCCAGATCCAGATGCAGTAATTCTTTCATGAGAATTTCAAACTGATGAAAGTGTAAGACACTGAAAACAATTAGGTTACAAATAAGCTCGGTTGTTGGCCGATTGCCTTCAATTAAGTCACACGCTTCGAATTTTGCGCCAAAATAGAGGAAATAATTTGCCCCTCTAATTTTTCATATAATAATGGATGCTCACTGTATTTTTTCGGCATGTCTTTTGATGCATATGAGGAAGAAGAGCATAAAAACAGCATGTGCTTGTGCTCTTTTATGAAATCCCCATTGTACCGAACAAAAGAACCAGCTTGAAATCGTTATAATTGCATGCTGAGGGTTTTTGAAGTAATTATTATCTCAAATGAATGTTCTGAATATTAGTGAGACTCAGACAATACAACCGGAACTTATAAATAACTATCAAACTTAAAAAAAATTAATTCAACTATTGTACAGTATAATAAACAAGAGTCTACTGGTTACCTATGCCAGGTATTAACACAGAACACGTAGAGCATGCATGAAAACTGTTTACGACGTATACTACATAGAGTAGAAACTATTCTTCCGCTCTTTCCTTTCAACTTCTTGTTGAAGTCGGAGAAAGGAAAGCATTTCACTTTTCATCTGATTCAGGCCATATTGGCATATCGTTTAGAAGAGTATCACTTCAGCTATAAACCATGAACTGATACGAGGCAATTTATTTTCAGGGGATAAAAAGCTTTTAGAAGATGTTGCGCAGATGGCCGCCGAAGAAGGAGAAGACAATATAGCGTTTGTTGCGTATTTCACTCTCAATGAGTTAGAATCATGTCTACAGCTGCTCATCAAGCGCAACAAGTTACCTGAAGCCGCTTTCTTTGCCAGGTTATTATAAATAAGTTGAATGTAAATGTAATGTAGTATTTGTTAATTCAAGACAGTTTTTGTGAGCGTAGTGCTACTTTTGTTTGATAGATTTAGACATACAGGTTTCCACGCGATATTTTACATCATTGCTGTGCACATTGTGGTAAATACATTAAACTCGATATTTTTTCTAAGTGGGATAATGTTCGATGTTATGTTTATATACTATGAAATTTAAGCCAAACATCAAGCTCCTGAGCCACCATTTAGTTAGTAATTATATATAAACACAAATAGTTGGTGTAAGCATAAACTCATTTGAGTTTCTCTGTACACCAGTGCTCACATTAGGTACACAATATTCCAATCTAGACATTACACTACATTACAAAACTGAAGTTACATTTAATATTATTATAAATTAAATTAGGGGTATTAAATATTTATTATCTATTTTACAAATTAAATGTGGATACCTAGATAAAAAATAGTTGTATGCGGTAAGAACTTATTTTATTCAATCGTGGCACAAGGATGATATTTTATTGTCGTCAAAAGCTAGCACACAAACCATTTGATACCTAGATATATCATCGATTAAGTATCGAAATGCAGATGGCATTGTATCTTCCGCGGACCAAGATGGAATGACTCGATTAGAAGGTCTTGGGGTGTTGTCACTCACCATACTAATATGACAGTATGCTAATCTATAATAATATAATAAAGCGGAAGAGCTTTTTTGTTTGTTTAAACGCGCTAATCTCTGGAACTACCAGTCCGATTTGAAAAATTCTTTTTGTATATTATAGCCAGATTCATGTGGAATAGTATAGGCTATCTAGCATTAACCTATATTACTCAGCTAGCCTTAAATATGGATATTTGTTAAGCAAGTCAGAAGAAAAAGCACTCCCGAAATGATTTATCCGCGTACGCTGGTGTTACCGTTAGGGATACGTAAATACAATGTTCTAGAAAAATATAGACCTTTACGCCGGAAACAAAAGTCCGCGATACCATATGTCTATTTCTTATACATAAGCCATAATTTGGTATTTTGTGACAAAATATGATTTATGAGCGTTATTATTAGGCATGGCCTATTTATCCTTACGAACGAAAGTTACTTTATCATCAAGACAATTTTATGAAGATAAACTTTGTTCTTTATACCATGTTATTTGGATGCTTAGTTTAAGAGATAATGTAAAATTAAAATATTTCAATACTTGGCTGGGCACGCGAACGACGCTTAAACCCTAACCGTTATAAAATGCTTGAACTAGGTCAAGTCGCGCACCTCGTACACGTGATGACGCGGGTGAAACCGCGGGGCACAGCTAGTATTGTATAATTGGTAGCGCGGTCTTCCATTATCTATTAATTAATCCATTTATTATAGCCTATTAAAGTTCACACGTACATATCCTCATAGAAAGATATTTGCCAGAATTGCTATGCTGGACAGGCTTGTGGGCAACTGTAGTTTTTTTATTATTTTGAGCTGTTATCAAGAAGATACTGCTGTTCATCTCCTGTTTGATTTTCTTCTGTGTATGTAGTAATCATTGATTGTTTAGACTTGTTAAATGTAGCTATTTTATTATTTTAGATCATACATTCCGTCGAAGGTCTGCGAGGTTGTGAAACAATGGCGTGATGCAGTTGGAGTCACAAACAAAAAGTCCGGACAGTCACTTGCCGACCCCGAACAATACGAAAATCTATTCCCAGAGTTTGCGGTAGGTTTTGGTACAGCTTCGTTTACGTGTAATATAGACTAATCTTTCTATACATATATATCAAAATAAATTGCTGTAGGTTAGTCTCGTAAAAACTCAAAAATCGCTGCACCGATTTTGATAAAAAATTTTGTGTGTGTTTGATCTATCTGGATGATCTAAACGATTCGCAATTCAACCCGGTAGGTGACGCTGTTGTCGAGATTCAGAAATCAGCCGTGCGAAGCCGGGGCGGATCGCTAGTGGAAAATAAAATTCAAGTATTAGACTATTATGAAAACATATTTGTTGATTATTTTCTTTATAACATAAACTTGACAGGCAGATGAGCTAATTGTTTAACCCGATAGTAAGTAGCTAATGCAGCCTATAGATACCTGCAACCAATTACAGAATTGTATACTCTTCATCTTTGAGAAATAAGATGATATCACATATCTCACAGCCTGTAATTAATACTGACTATCCATAGTGTTAAGACCGGAATACAATAGCTTACGCACTACTGTTTTGCGCTAGAAATAGGTTAGAGGATAATATACCTATGTGGGATGTTCAGGAAAAGCCCTGCCTTCATATATTTAAATTTTACATACAGTAATTTAATAATCACACTATGCTTTCAAGCTTGTGATTTTTAAACGAATTGTTGGATAATAAAATTGCTTACAGAGATTCTAAGTTTTATTTTTTAACGGTACAATTTTATTTTAACAGGAGTCACTAGAATTAGAAACATTCCAGCGGCAGTTTGGGTTCGAATACAGCTGTCAACTGGACAATTTGGAGCCTGATTCTAAAATATGTAATGTCGACCGTAACTTGACAGAGGAGAAGACCAATATGGAGAAAATGGGCAAATGGAGTCCATCAAAATCAGCCGAAAGGTAAGAAATTGATAAAAAAATTTCAGTGTTATTTTTTTATAGGATAAGTGTGACAAACGAGCACACAGTCCACCTGATGGTAAGTGGTTGCTGCGGCCCATAGACATCTACATCTATTCTCGATTACGAATGAAAATGCAGATGCGTTGTCACCCGTGAGGACTAAGATGTAATGCCTCGTTTCCAGTAAAAAGGGTCTCCGGTTGTCTACACTCACCATACGAAACACAGCAGCGTTAAGCTGCTATTTTACGTTGGTATTCTGTGAGAGCGTGGTCCTTCCCCTGTCGAGCCGACTCATTCGTGCTACAACTATACCTACTACTGATATAGCTGTAGCATGGTTCTATCACGTCAGAGAATTTTTAAAATATGTAATTAATTTGTAATTAATATTATATAACCATATTATAACAATTTTTAAACAAACGGCACGTTGATAAATTTAATAAAAGTGGTATACTGTTATTGTTATTCAAATAACTGTACATTAACTAGCCAATTCTAAGTTTTTATTCATAGTTAAGTCTATAATTATGCTAAACTATTAGACTAAATATATTTCGTAAATGTGTTTCAATTTACGAAATGTTTTATTCTTTTTATATTAGCAGTTAGAATATAATAAGAATTATAAAAAAATAAATTTATCAAATTGGCCAAATATTTTTATATAATTTTATGGATTTTTCGTAATACTAGAACAACAAGAAAACAGTAAAAATTTTGTATGTATATTAATGATATCTTCGTTAACGCTCCTTGCGTTATTGTGAATTAATTAAATTCAAATTCAAGGAAATCAGGCAAAGATATATTGGTATTTATAAACAAAACAAAGATGTTGAAATGATGGCCAGTGACAGTTGTCTATGAATTGAGATATCTATTGATAGTATTGTATGACAACAATCACTAGATACTGGACTCATTTCATAGACAATTATATTGTTCCTAGGAGGTGAAATAAATGACAATTCATGCTTTTTTGATAGAAATAGGAAAATAGGCTTAGAAAGAAACGATCTTCAAACGATTTCAAAATTTTTCATTTAACTTCTAACCTTACCTTCACCTGAGATTCATTTCACAACTTATCTGAATTATCTGTAACTATATGTATTATTTACCATATGATTCTCTTTCTCGTAGTTCAATTCCTTCGAATAGAGAGTCCGCAAGCAAAGATCCGGAGCTGCCACAAGAACCTACAAATAAGCGCAAAGACTCCTTGGACATCATGGAAGAGATTGATAGAGAAATTGATGGCATTGTAATGGAGGATGCAGTTGATAGCCTGGTATGTTACTTAATTTTTTTTAAAAAAAATCTGAGATGAGGTAAGTGTTCTAGTTCAGACCATAGAGACCTAGAGCCAACTTCAAATCAAGAAGAATACAGATGCGTTCAATCCCATTTTGGCCCTAATAGGTGACACTTAGAACCAAAATGGGATGCTTCACAGCCAGAATTTATTACCTAAAGATATTTAAATTTTTCCAGATATGTAGGTTTTTCCTCACGATGTCTTTTCACCACCGTGCTCATGGAAATATTTCCAAATTTAGGCATATGCCTAAATTTCATTTAAAGATTTGATTGACACTGGTGAGGAATAAAACTGTTTAGTCCCTTACTAAGAGATCCCTAGCCACGGATTCTGCACTGCACATTCTGCATAATCCTGCCACGATCGTCCAACATAACTTAACATGGTACAAGTTGTATTTGAATGAACTAAATATTTAATGATTTTGTTTTGTTTTATTTTTATTTTATTTGCTTGCATTCGTACTTTTGTGTTTTGCAAGTATCAAGTGTCAGTAGTCACTTGATTTTCCATTTTTTAAAAAGATTTGGACATTAAGGCTAGTTTTTTAAAAAACATAGAATAAGGACAATGAGCGGTCACACAGTCATCCTTCATCAGGTGGACTGTGTGGTCATTTGCTCTATTCTATAAAAAATCCTGATAAGTGAACGTTGTGGCCTATAGACATCTACATTTACACCTGATAAAGAATCAAAAAGCAGATGCGGTGTCACCCTGAGGATTAACATAGAATACCTTGTTTCCAGTATAAAAGGTTTCCGGTTCTCTACACTCACCATACTAAACAGCGGCATTAACTGCTATTTCACACTGGTATTCTGTGAGAGTGCAGTCCTACCTCTGTCGAGTCAAACCATTCTGCAACTTTATATCTGCAGCGTGGCTCTACCAATCTCAATATATTATGCTGTGTTTAGTCCTAAATGGACTGTGAAATTTTTCTAGTATTTTTTATATGTATATATATTTTTCTTTTCAGGACCTCTCAGATGAAGCCGATCTAATTGATTAATATTTAAGTATATTATATTTAGTGTTTTTCTTATTTTATTTCGATCATAAAGAGTATGTACTTCCTAATGTGCTTATATATTTAAGATTAAAGTATTATATAGTTTTTCATCACCAAGTACTCGTTTTTTTTTTCGTCACCATTGTTTTGATTTGTAAATGTACAAAGCATATGTACATACTGTACTATTTTAGGGTTAGGTGGAGTGGTCATTCTGAAATATATTATAGCTGATTGTATGCCCATCGTATAGAGATATGTTTAAATTATACAGTAATAATTTCTGCATATAATCAAGTTGAATATTTTTTCACATTCATAATAAACATTAGAATTTTATGTAATTAAATATATTATAAGAAATAAGTGTATAGTTTTTTTCAAATCTAATAATCATTTACGAAATAATTACACTTAATCATTATAAACACAGACTATCGAAATAGCCTAATGTTTAATTAAACAAATTACATTTATTGCTTGTGTAATTGTATAAACTATCTGCATAGTGTTTAACCCCTTTGTATATTTTGTTATAATATAGACATATCTAAATTAAGAAAATATTGTTCATTAACTTGGTGCAATGGTTATGATACGCAGTTTGTAGGCATTTTTAAAATTAATTACCTATATAACAGTTTTAATTGTTTAAAATAAAACATATTTTATTATTATGTCGTACAACAACTTTTGGCAGTTTCCTTTTAATTTAGATCTTATGGCACAGTAGTCATTTGACTGCGTCTTTTGTCTAGTGGTCGTAAGCGCGACTGCTGATCATGCCGTCCCGGGTTCTAATGCGGGGCAAAATCAGTTATTCTTGGGATTTTAGGCTTTTTCGGTCAAGTCAACTCAGTAGCAGCCTGTAGCCAGGAAGTTGCACAGCAAGTTGCACGCAAAGTCGTGAATCTCGCACTTTTTTTCATTCCGGCCGAGTCGGATTGCCGTCACATCGCACTATGAGGCTGAATGAATAAAGAGTGCACCCTAGCTTATGGGAACACTTACGCAAATGGCAAATTTCCGTTGAGACTGGCCGCCGTGACCGAAATTCGCTCTGCATGACATTGTTTATTTATGACACAGCAACACTACCTCAACTTAGTTTGATTAATTAATTTGTATACACTGAGAAGGTTCTCTTTACCTTCTACCGTCCATAGTAATGAATAAGTATATAATCTGTTACTGCCAATTGCTAATGAGCAGGAACAGGAACCTTATCGCACTTGTGAAGATGTTTGTTAGCGGAGGAATGGGATCATAACAATTAGAAACATAAAAATTGTTATGTTTTTTATTTTAGTAACTATGGAAAAAACAACTGTTGATACCGCCACGTTTTTTATACTATTACAAGCCAGTGCTTGACCTTACTTGAATATCCCATCTGATGGTAAGTATTGATGCTGTCCATTATAATAAAGCGTCATGAATTGCTTAGTAAAAACTTATTCACTCTTAAATTTAAGATATTAATAAAAAAAAGAAATTAACTTATAATTGATACGGATACATTCACAGCCAACAACTCATCTGCATTTCTTGACCAAACTAGATAACGCCAAAAACCTAAGGACACCGATGAAGTGAACTTTTTTATTATGGTTGACAAATATCGCAGTACTCGATGGTAATTGGAAGCTGTTGCCCACACACCTACATTTAGACGGCTCCGTGGCGCATTGAGTTGCGGTTCTGTGGATCGGAGATTCGAATTCCGCACGGAACAATTGTTTGCATAGCCTACAAATAGACCGGGCGACAGACGGAAATTATCAGGAGAAAATTCTAGTGTAACGTTTAAATAAAACAATGATAATTTTATTTTATCCCAATCAAGAATCAATTGACCTTGAGGATTAGGTAAGGGGTATGCCTCGTAATCAGTAAAAAGGATCTTTGGTTCTCAGTTCTCAAAACTGACTATACGAAACACAGAAGCATTATTCCTCTGTTTTACGGAGGTACTCTGTGAGAGCGTGGTTTCTACGCGGCCTGTTGAGTCGATCCATTCATATGGCTGTGGCACGAAGCTGCCGCGTGGCTCTAATTCGTAAAATCGTGGGTTATTTAAAAAAGCCTGCGTGGATCAGTGTCTGACTTGCGGATCATAGGTTTTATACCACTGGCTTATATATATGTGTATTCTTTTTATTCTGAAATAGTTTGAAACCCTTTACTTCATTCCTAGTGGTCTAGGTACACCTGTCTGCCAGAAGATAGAAGGACGTATGTGGCACTCATCTCTTGAATTGGAATCTTCGTAAGTAATTTTTTTTAGCTAAGATCGACACACTAACTTGTCCTAAAAGTGAAAATATGAAAGGCAGGTACTAAATGTGAATACCATTATTTCACCTACTTGAATTAAAGTGTCTATTTTCATTAAAAATACTTAGTAAAACACAGGCCCTTGTACCTGGCACAGCTATAGATATCATTATCGTCATCATCATCATCCATCAGCCTGCGGCAGTCTACTGCTGAAAATAGGCCTCTCCAGTAGCGTGCTACTTATCCCGATCTTCGGTTTCACGCGTACTTATTATTCGTTAACCTAAGCGCGGTCTCCGCTCTATACACGTCTACTCCATCGGTTTTCGCTTCTGTGACAAAGGTGACAGCCCGTTGCCACTTAGCCTTTCTTCAGTTTTCTTTATTTAAATGTTTCTTTGGATACTGTGTGTGTGTGTGTGTGTGTGCGTGTGCGTGTGAAGTCATTCATGTTCGGAATAACAAACGATTATTACTTTCTTATCTTTTGAAAATAAATGTTTAACCATAATCATAAAAATATCAAACAAGCCTAGCCTAGCTGTGGTGCAGCTAAGTTCAATTTAACCTAAGAATAACATAACATACGAATGGATGTCAAAAAAAATAGCTAGCCTAAGCGTGTCTCTCTGAAAATTTCTATCTATCATACATAGGTAATGTCGACACGTCGGTTGCATGAATCAATCGGCCCGATTTAGGGCTCTGGGTTCGATTCCTAGATCGATTTAAAATATCTTACATTAATGTATCCATATTTGTTTAATAGTCGCAAGGCGTACTGAAGTTTTCAATGGATGTCGCCAATGTATATACTCATCAAAACAGGATATTTACAGGTGTGATGTTTTTTAGAAGAATTAAATGTCATATTTAATATTATATTGTGGTGTAGCCTCCACCATAGTATATATTAGTGTTCAGGTAGAATAAGTTAGTCAGTATAATTAAAGTTCTTGTACAAGCAACACGTCCCTTATTCATTTAAAACCCTTCATATTATATCCCATGGCGACCCTGCCAGACGGTGCGCTGCGGCAATGCAGGCGCACCGCCGGCCCTATTTAAAATTAAAAAATTGGAATAAATATTGTTAAATTAAATAATGAAGACACGAGTAAAATGATTGACAAGAAAGTAATAGTATAACGGAATGGACGTAACACCGAAACATAAATAAATATGAATTCGAGGAGAGGCCACAATAATAAGAATTTTATAGAAGCAGACTGAAAATTTAAAATATATAATATATAGTACTATGAAAACAACTAACGAAGAATGAGGAAAATAAAATGTGGATATTTTTTTATATGATGACCAAAGTTCAAAATTCAAGTAACCGCAGATTAGTTTTAAAAGGAAAGTAACAGTTGTACTTTGGCAAGCTTCATCCAGAAGAATATGAAAATTGAGCCAAAATGAACAAAGAAGAACATTTGAGGTAACATCGCGTCAGCCTTTTTTTTATCATTTCTTTAAAAAGTTTAACTATAATTAAAAAAAAATTAGGTATTAAATATTCTGTATTTTATATATGTTTAAGTTGAAATTAACTATTAGATACGTTATATTAACGATTTATTTCTTATTTTATTATTGTTTAAAAAAATTATACTATAATAATTATAAATTAAGTTACGTAAGTGCTTCAGTGGCATTTGTATTGAGGCACTAGACGATTTTATACTCACTTTTATTCAGTAATAGATTTGCAAAAAAAAAATGAAATAATATGAAAAATAAAATTTTTACGTACTTAATTTCACCAGATTTATGTTTAAAATAACACTGTGATACATTTCGTTGTTTTTTTGCTGTAGTCTTTAATATAAAATGTATACAATTTTGAAAAGGGTTTTAAATATTCAACAAACTAATTCTACACATTCAACACCTTCCACATTAATTTATTATTATTTTATTTTAATAATTTTTTATTATGTTTTAGACTATATAAAATAAAAAAGTACGTAATGTTTTTAATATTAAATGTTCGTTATTAACAAGTAACTTGAAAATATTTCTCACATTTTAACATTTTATAATATTTCTAGTAGGTATTATATTAAAAAAAAATGAATATATTTAGCGACATTTTACGATGACGAGGTTCGGATTAAAGCAAATATATTTTTAAATTTAACCCAATTTTATTTCTGTAGTAATTTTTATTTAAATGTATGTAATTTTGAAGGGTTATAAAAAAATCGCTATTAATAAAAGTTATAATTATTTTTCTTCTTCTCTAAAGGTATGAACACCTTAAAACAATTTAAAAGTTATAAATAAATAAATATATAGTCTTTAATAAATAACCTTAAAGTTAATATAAATTACTTAAAAATGAAAATTGTTCTTCTCAATGTTTAAATAAATTAATGTTTTGTTTATATAAACTCGGTAGCCGTTATAGTGATGACGACTTATGTTCCCATTATTATTTCTTTGTTTTATTCATTTGAATATGAAATGGAACAATTTATTAATTTCGATTTTATATTTATTGAACTTTTAAATCATTAACTTTTAATTTTTAAAATTCACTATTTCCTCGGAAAACGATAGTTTTAAATATTTAACTTATTTGTATACATGAGAAAATAATTTCATCAATTTATTTATTTAAATTTTGTTGTGATCATTGTGAGCCTCATTCCCTGACTGAAAATGATGACTAAATACTACAAGAGACCATATAAGAGACTTATTTAATAAATTTGTCAAGTCGTGAGTTAATTTATGGCTAATATATTATAGGGTAATATAATATAATAATTATTAAGAAATACAGAATTATAAATGAAAAATATTAATAGAATGTAGTTGTGAGAGTAAGGCAAGTAAAGAAAATTATCGGAGATTAGCATATCCACATACAATCGGCCTGATTAATTTTTTTAAGGTTGTTCGGATGCTATTAATGACGTAATGAGTTTTAATGAGGCAATGAAAATGTATTATGTATTGTATAGGAATAGTGTCCATATTCTTTATCATGTATGTATGTACGCGAGCCACGTACGTGAAAGTATATTATGGTACAATTAAATAATGATTAATAAAATACTACTTATAAAAGTAAAGAAATAAATAAAAATTAAACAAAAGTTGACTTTGACAAATAAATAATGGAGAGATACGGGAACGTCCATCACTGGTATAGCATATAGTCCTCGAGCAGGGTATGTTTCCATGATTGGATGATAAAATCGGGAGTAATGGGTACTAGGGAACAATACCTTCAGTACAAGTGATGTGAACAATTTTACTCATATTAGTACTGTTGGGGACCAGAGAAGTCTTAAATATTGTTACCCTTAAAAATGGTACATAGAGGACATTTTCCTCCGTGACAATTGTTGGAGTCCTTTTAAAATGACTTAAGCGTTGACCTCAAGGTTG